GGGACAATAGCAGCACCAGTATTTTTCCTTCAAGGCATTTGTAAGCAGAAATCAATCACCTCGTCTTTGCACCACTCCTTCAGGTGAATGATCTGTCTTTTTATCAGGTAAGCCCAGATGCTTTGGTGTGCATCCCTCTCTGCAGTTCTCAGTTCAGTTCTATGAGTGCCTAGAAGAGCCCAAGGCTTTTAGTCCAACAAGGGCTTCTGACTAAGCAAAGCAACCCCAATTGGTGCAGAATGCTAAAGAATCATCGAACATGATAACGTAACCCTGGAGTTCTGGGGAGCCTGAAGGGCAGTTTTGAAAGCAAACCTAACACATCGTAGAGTCTTTGACCTCAAGATTTTTATAGAAGGACAGGTTGAAATGCTGAAATGAGCATTTTCTGACACGGAACAATAGCTTTGGCACACAGACCTCAGGAGTCATCTACCCCCTGGATAACTTTGGTGTTTCCTCACTGCCTTCCTTGAAGATGTCCAATGCCTGTGTTGTTCTTCTGAGCAGATTTAACCAGCCCTTGTGCATCAAGCAAAGGGGATTATGCTGTTTAGGAGTTAGCGTGCATTTAAATAGCTTTAATACTCCAGACCATCTTAAATGGGATCTGATGTAAGGAACCATGCTTCACAGCTGGTTGATTGGTGCCTTTCATTCTCCCTATCGATCTGCAGCCAAAAACACTGAAGGAAAAACAAAATTCTTGCTGTATGATGAAGCAGAGCAAGTAATTCATACCTAATAGCTAACCTGATCTCCTGAAGACTGCAAATACCCTGCTCTTATTGGAAGTGTATTAGTAGTACACGGTCAGGTAAATCAAATGATTTCCATTTCCTGCCTGAGCATGAGACCAAGCTGTTCCAAAGCAAATTTAAAGTTCATTTCCTGCAAATATGGGTATATGAGATTTTAAAACTAGCTTTTCATTCATGAAAATGGGATTTGAATGACATGAACGTTTGTGGAAAGCAAACAAACAAAAAAAAAAGTTTGAGAGAAAACAAAAAGATCCTTTCCACATTTTCATTATTAACCTATTAACTCATTGCTCCCTGGCCCCACACAGCCTGAAGTCTTAAGTCTTGTACCTTGCCTTCATAGAGAGCAGTGTCTCCCTGTTGTTTTATCAGCCTCTGCTGTAGGCACACAGTGCTACAGCCACCACAGACCGAGGCAGGACGGGCAGGGTGACTTTATTGAAGCAGAGCCTGCTCCCCTCCTTGGCAGCTTTCCCTGCAGCCCACCTCTGTACTGGCACACAGCTGCACACAGTGACTCACCTCCTTTGGGAATGCAGGAAGCTGGCTGGAAGTAAAATTGGCCAAATCAAGCCTGAGGGCCACAGAGCACTTAACATTCATCTGTCTCAAGGGCTGAGCCTTATTAGTGGCATGAAAATGTGGTCAGAGAACGTGATCTTGGAATAGCTTATGTTGGAGGGGACCCTTAAAGATCATCTAGTTCCTGCCATGGGCAGGGTTGCCAGCCATAGACCAGGCTGCTCAGGGTCCCATCCAACCTGGCCTTGAATGCCTCCAGAGATGGGGCATCCACGACCTCTCTCAGCAGCCTGTGCCAATGCCTCATCACCCTCTGATAAAAACGTGATACAGGGAGCTGACTAGGGAGGCCCCAATAACTGACAGGCTCAATCCATAAGTTGCCCAGAACTAAACTGAGCAGACCTCCTTAATTCCCCATTTCATCTGCCAGCTTTTTCTGCCTCTGCAAAGAGGGACTTAGTCATATGTACCTTACCTGAACTTACAAGATGAACCATTTAAAAATGACTGAGTTTTGGAGTTTCACAGACCTGATCCAATGACAGCTGCTTCCAATTATTACAGAAGAATAATCATTACTATTATTACTTAGAATCTGTTGCTCGAAATAAATTTAAGGGGCTGCAAATCAAAATAGGAATATGACCCTATAATTCAGTGTTGGTAAAGTTATTTTGTCTCTGTGCTCAGGTGTTCTTTCTAACTGTAGCTTTAAATACACAGGTTCAAAAACACTGCTCTGAATTACTATAATATGGAACTGAATAGACAAAATCTACAAAGCTAACAAACCTGGTTTCACCTGTTGAGAAGATCAATGTGGGACCAAAGGTAGTTAAGGGCAACAGGAAAAACCTTGAGAAACACAGAAGGTTTATAACTTACAGCACAACTCCACCAGATGGATTTTAGTTGAATTTCAGCTTCTTTATAAACTTTATATTTACTTTCAAGAAAAGCGACTCTAAGAGAAATTATTCACTCACCCCTTTATTGTATGTGATCTGCATTTGTGAAAGTTGATTGCAGAAATATGAAATTACATTTGATGATGAAAATCAGGTCAAAGTATAGAAATGAAGAATAGAACTGAACACCAGAAATGACACACAAAATAGCTGAAACTTAAATCCTTTTATTATAAATACGGTGATGTGCAGAATGCCAGCATCAGACTCTGCATTACTTCATCTCTCATGTGTATAAATCTAATAGCTCAAGTCTCAAATAAAACAGGCTTTTGACACTCTTCCAGCTACAGCACTTGACCCAAAGCCCACAAAGTCAGCATGAATCACTGAAGTTTTGGAAGTAAAATGCCAATTTTTCTGGGAAAAAAGAAAGAATCTTTCATATCAGCTAAAAGCATTGCATTTTTCCTAGCGGAGACTTTGAAATTACAAGTAATCTTAAGCACTGTAGCAATGAATGAGATGCAGTTTATCCAGAACAGCATTAATATTGCGTTCTTTAAAGATAAGAACCTACTGGCAACTGAAAGAGGAGATGTGATCTGAAGTCCTGCATTTAGGTGGCTATATATGACAGGTTTTCCCTACAGGAAAGAATACATTTAAATGCTAAACCAGATGCTTTCTCAGTTATGAGGGAAGCTCAGTTGGCCGCCATGTTGGCCACCCTGTTGCGTGGTCTTTAGAAATATTTTCTTAAAGCAAATAATAATTTATTTCTCCCTTTTCATCAGAACATCTCCAGTGAAACGTCTGTGACATTGTTTTAGAGCTGAGAGTATTAGGACACATTTTTTTTTTAGATTTACACGTATTATACAAACTGCAATTCTTTCTCAAGATCAAAAAACGCACGCGTGTTTCCACAGGCTCTCAACACAAATTGCCTGTCAGGGTAATATCTTGAAAACCGTGCTGTAACCAGGATGATGAAAGAAAATTACTGGCAGGCAGATTATACAGCTGTGTAACTTATTTAGTGCCTCCCAGCCTGAATGCCTACGGGACAGATGCAAATTCTCCAACTGAAGCACATCTCAGAGCACATGCACTTCTAACAGACAGCGGCTCGCGCTCATTAAGCTTGGTTTGGGTCGTAAGCACAGTGTGCTTTTGCCTCAAATGACAGCTTCTCTCCAAAGACTCTTTTTTTTTCCCCCCCCCATCCATTAAGAATAAGGATCTGGCCGCTGATATTAAAGGTCTAGGCTCGGAGCAAACAAACCGAAAGACGTGATGGATTGAAACACGATTATCCTGTCACTCACTGTAGACATGCAACACAGACACCCATCGCTTTAACCACAAACCCCCCCCGGCCGCAAGAAGTGCTCTCACCTCACACGGCTGTTCCTCCTCCCCTCCCCGCGGCGTGGAATGGACTCTCCCGCGCAGCCCCTGGTGAGGTAACGCGTCGCTGTTGCCATGGAAACGGCTGTGGCGTCGCCGCTGCGGGAGCCGTTGGGACGGCTGAGGCGGGATCTTCCTTCCCGCCTTGTGCCCAGGTTCCGGCGTAAGATCCCTGTTGGTGGGCGTTCGATGCAGGTTGTGATACGTGCTGTAGTCAGCCTTTGGATTCTATAGGTTTATTAATGTGAGAAAGCTTGTCCGGATGCTGTCTGCTCCCTGTGGTTTGAAACAAACTGCGGTGGTCTCGTCTGTTTCGCGCTAAACTCCACGAGCCGCGATCGTCTCGTCCATTTTGAAGCTGTTAAGCTGTCCTTCAATGGATGAGGAGGAAATTTCAGCCAGCAGTAACCAGTTCAGTTTGCTTTCAGGTTCTCCTCCACCAGCTGCTAGTAATCACTGACCCGTGTCAATCCCTCAACTGAGATATCATTGAGAAGCACTTTAATTGCACTAATGCTTATTTTCAGGTTTTGTGTGAGCGGACAGCTGAACTTTAGCTCTTGAGCTCAGTTACCCATTCAATGTTTCTGAAATAGCTTCTCTGCAGCACTGAAGTCCTGCTTTTAGCTGGAATCTGTCAACCAACAGCTGAAGAACCAAAGGTTTGTCATCTGTAAGTCTTTGCTGCTGTGCTTGTAATCAGCTGCTGGCGTGCTCCTTCAGCAGCCTGCTTAGCCTGTGTTAGTTACACTGCAAATGTTTTAGAGCAGGGATGGATGTTAGGCTTCTGTTTGGGCTTCTTGCTGTATAAACTTGCTTGTTGGAAGAGTCCTTACCCCAGTATGGAAATGCTGAGAGTAGGGAATAACTACTCTGCAAGTTACCTTCCCATTTTGAAACAATTTGGGTAGGACTGAAGACATTTATCATTATTCATATATGAAGACGTTTATCATTACAAATCAGCTGAAACAGTTTGACTTTGTAGGCGTTGATACTGTTTTCTCCTCAGTGCTTGGGTGTCCTTCCAGAAAAATGTATTTCACTGTGTATTAAGCTACTTTCTTTGAACTTCAGGGAATTGCCCACATGAAACTGAAAAGTAAGTTTTTCCCCTGGTATCATGAATGTAACAAGCTTTTCTTTCAACTAAATATAATCTAGGGTTGTTTTAGGTTTTTAGTGACACCATACAAAGCACTTCCGCTCTGCATTTCTCTTTCCATGCACTGGTATTTCTTGGCTTTCTAACAATTTTTTTACTGTTTTTAATTTCAATCAAATGAACATCTCATAAGGTTTCTCACTGTAGATGATGCAAATTCTCTTTTTATTTTTTATTTTTCTATTTTTTTTTTAATTTTTTTAGGAACAGACAATACTGGGAACCATGAACAAAAATAATTTTGTGATACTCCCAGGTTCAAAAAGTGGAACCTCTGTGAGATTAAAATCAAAGTAAGTTCATTTTATCTGACTGTGACTGAAATGTTGTATCAGCATTTTTATTAAGTTGTCAAGAACTGTTAGGTGGAACAGCTTATGTGTGTGCAAATGAAACACAGAGTTGGATTAGTTTTAGATTAGCAAGATAAGCTTATATTGGAGAAGCTTTATCGGTACAAAAACAAAGAAACAGCATTAACAAACCGTAAATGTCTTCATGTTGTCTTCTGATCTGAGGCCTTTCAGGTCTTATGAGAGTAAAAACCTGCAGTTTACTGGAGAGACTGGAATCTCTGAATCTTCAGAATGCTGCTTCTTTCAGTAAAGCCCGCTATGGTAGGGCAGTCTTGGTTGTGAGAAGGTTGTTCTTGACTTGCAGTTAATTTTGCAGAGCAGTTTTCAGTCTTACTGGAGACAGAGGGGTAACCTGCCTTTTCTTTTTCTTGCTGCTTTAGTGTCTTTCAGATGTCTTAATGTATTTCATGTACTTCCTATTGTATATTTTACTACTGTGATTTCTCTAGAACTGTCAGAGAGTTGCAACTGGAGAAAATACAGTTGGAAATGGAAAACAAAGAGGTGGAGAAGAAATTACGACAACTGCAGTCCAACATGAGCAGAGAAAAAGAGGAGAGAAAGTAGGTGACGTTTCTGGGTGCAGACCCTGCAGTCAGTTAGCATACTACAGTCTGTACTAATAACAATATGAACAGAAATGATGAAAAGTATATGGCAGTAAGAAAAAACGTGGTGAAATATTCAACATCCTCTTGACCTTTTCTTCTGGGGAACCTGTTGCTGCTGTTCTCAGCTGGTCCGTAGAGAGAGTTTTCCCTTTCCTTTTCCATCTTCCTTCTTGATTTATTTTATTTTTATCCCCTAAAATAAACAGTAATCTGTTCTGTTAGATTTAGTACATGTTTAATAAGCTCTTTCTTACCTTCATTCATAGGAAATCAAGTGCTTATCATTGGAAGTCTGGACAAGCAGGAGCAATGACTGTCCAAGCCCGACTTTTATCACAAAACAGAGAAAAAATCAATAAGGTAATAAGCTATCAACATATTTGCAAATAATGCTATTTAAAATGAGAGATTTAGGTGATTTGTGCTACAAAATATGGGAATTTTAAATACAGCAGGAATAAAAAGCTGAGTAATTCTGAGTAAAATTTGTGTTTCCTTTTGAACTAGAGGAACATCAAGCTCTGCCTAGCCATCTGTTGTTTTTTTAATTGCAATAGATACTAGATTGGTAAAAGCAGTGCTAATTTGCTATTGTGAGAGTCCAATTTGGTATAGCTGGAAGTCATCATAAACCTGCTGTAATAAGTCTATGGCATTGTGTCTTGTGTAACTTGAGCTGAGAAAGTTCTTTCCAGTATTTGTACTCTAATACATTAGTATGTAAATATATATGTCAGCACTCTTTCCTGTAGGTTTCTTCAGGAAAAGTGAAGTTGCAGCTACTGAAAGAACCACTTCAAGGTAATGGTTTCTTTATTAACTTAATTAAGAACTCTCTAACTTCTGGCAGAGTATCGGGTTCTTGAAGGTTGCTGCGATTAAGCAGTAAAGAATAAATCAGAGATTGTGGTAGCAGGTTATTTGGTTTTGTTATTTTTCCCCAGTGCCAAAGAAAGAACCATTTAAGCATGAAATGTCAAATAATGGAGCTCATGAAAAAACTGAAGCAAAGGAGATGGTTTCTCCTCGTCCACTTACTAAGAATGCAGGGCTGGTAAGTATGTGGTATAAAAGGTATCAGTAGGATACGTGCATATAAAAGCTTTGTAACAGTATCTAGGCATGATTATGTGGTACAGTATATAGGAAAAGTGTGTGGCCTACAGGAAGGAGTCTGGCATAGGTCTCTTCAGTGAACTCCATATGCGGAGATACAGACGTGCACTCTTAAAACACACATTCAAGTCTGAATGTTAGTTTTTGTCTTGTGCTAGCTTTTCTGTGCAGTGCTGTTGTATTGCAGTCAATGGAAGTGTGTTCCCTCTGCCTCCCTTCTTGGAGAGGAAGGAGGAATGTATTTTAATGATGCTTTTGCCACTGGGAAATGGTAACGTCTAGGAACTGAGTCGAACTTCCAGCCTTAGTTTTTCTGGCAAATACGAGATTTTTATACATATTTTACACTTTATTCAGCTGCTGGGAATAGTAAGTCATTTAGGGACTGCTTGCTTCACTGGGATGGTCCACCTGAGATGCCAAGTTAAAACTATTAGATGCACAGTAACTTACAAACAGGAGAAAAAAAAATAGGTATCTAAGACTATTTTGAACCAACTTTAAATGGTCTGACTTAACTGGAATGGAATTCTTATAGTAATAGGGTTTTTCCACCTGTTTGTGTGAATATGTTGGTAGTGTTCTACCCGATGACATCCTCTTCAATTCAATGATTGCTTTCAATGATAACAGCTCAGTACACCTTAAGTAAAGGAAGTCTTTACTGTTGATCTCCAGGAGTGGCAGAGATAAATAGCTCTCTTATCAGGTCTTTAACAGCGGGCTTCCCCACGCTGTGTTTTCATTGGTTGGCCCAGCATGTGCATGTGGCTGAGGAAGACTTGAGAGTGCTGCGATGGAAGCAAGCTGAATGGTTGCAGGCAAATAGCGTGTATTCAATAGTCTGTGCATATGTTGTACTTCTAAATACTTCGTACTTAGATACTTAGATAAGCAGGATGCGTTGATAATTCTGTCTGCTTTCTGAACTCGGGCTTGCTGGCAAAGTTACACTGGAAATCATCATTATGAACGATGAGCTTGTGTGTGTCTTTTAGCAAAGGCAAGCAGGAAGCCTACCCTCCAAAACTCCTCTGAACATTACCTGGCATCAGAACCACCTGCGTTTCGCTTCTCTTAGCGCTCAGCTGGAATTCATTCATTCCCCGCCTGTTCAGTGCGGTGACCGCCTGGGGACACCGGCTGTCCCCGAGATCACCGCCAGGGGGCGCTGCGGCTCCACAACGGCTCCAGGCGGGGCAGCGGGTCCGGCCGCGATTCGCGGCTGCTCTGCGAGCCTCTGTGACTGCGGGTTATTGGATTGCTGTTCGGCACGCTTGTGTGAACTCTTCTCACTCTGTTGATTGTTGATGTTAGTGTGTGCTTGCCACCGTCTCTCTGCTTTCTATGTCTGGTTCTCTTGATTCTTCTATCGTGCCGTTTGTTGGGAAGTTTATTTATAACAAATAAAAAGGTTTCATGTTATTCCATAAACAGACAAAAGCCAGTACGCGTCCTGGAAAACTGCAAGTTGTTGATCCCTTCAGATTTACTTCATTGGTGAATGAAACAAACATTAATCATGAGGAGAAGGTGGACAGCAAGCGCGGGGTCACTTCAAACAAGTTGACATCCTCACCAGCGTCAGCAGTCACTGCTGAGGTACTGTGCAGTTCAAAGCCAAAATCCTTTTAAACGTTTGTGACACCTTCAGCTGAGTGATCTGAGGTTTCACTGTGTGCCGAGGGATCAAATTGTCAACTTTAACAGTCTAGTGACCTGCAATTATGTATATCTGACCTATATACACAGGATGTAGGCTCTCTGACTAATGCTTTGTGCCTACTAAAGTATTTACTTCTTTTTTTGCATATGCTATTTTTTCCCCCTTATTTTGCTCTTGACAGAGCACTTAAGTTTAGTTGTGGGCAAGATCACTTAACAATTGAGTGGGTTTGATTACCAGAGCAGCACAGAAAACTGGGTTCTGCATTTCCTTAGCTGAGAATAAAAATGTTGGTGTTGTGTATGTAACCAGAGAGAGGATTATTATCAGAAGTGCTGTATTAATGATGCTGTGAAACTGATTTAGGAGCTCTCTGCAGAATCAGACTGGACAGGTCTTGGCAATCAGGACACAGGGATCTTACTAAATGGTATGTTTAATGAGGAAGAATCTGCAAAGATTTTTCAGGAAGCTTTGATTCAATGGAGGAACAGTAATCGTGACCACAGACCAGAACAGCATACTGGTGAGGTTCTACCAGGTATGATTTCTTTGTTGTTGTTTGATCTGCAATTTTAAAAACATTAGTAGCCATTTGGATAAGTTAGCAGCTATCTTAAGTAGCAAGGATGGGTTTTCTGCCAGAACAATGAATGTTTATTCTTTCCTCTACGTTCTACTGTAAATTAGCAGCAACCTATTAAGTTTTATGGCTGCCACCACTGCTGAAAATACTGTGCAATGACTGGTTTTAAGATCTCATGCACCCTACTGAGATTATTTTTTAATTTACTTTTAGTAATAAGAAGTCAGGTAACAGTTAGATGCACAATCCTATCTAAACCTGTATAAAACCAGTGTTTTCTGCAAATTCTGACAGCATGAATTCCTTCTGGCTGAGTCCAGCAAGTGGAAACAAGTTGTAAATTATGCTTCAAATGACTCAAATCTCCCTTTATCTTTTTGTAGAACAGGATTATCCTGACATCCTAAATGATAGAATTGAGCAAAGGCTTAGCTGGGCATAAACTACTGGCTTGATGTTCATTCAAAAATAACTTACCTAAATATTGAACTTATAAATGTAAATATCTGTATTTGTGCTGTTTTCTTTAATCATTCTAATAGAATCTGTGGAAAATCATGAGGTACAGACCAGTCTTTCTGTTATGAAAGAACAAGTCCAAATTCAGTTCAAGGAGAGTGGCCTGAGCTACATGGAGAAACTCTTGCTTAAGAAATACAAAAGGTATTGTGGAAGTGGCTGGTACTAGCAAAAGTAGTCAGAAATGCTTCATGGCATTAACAAAATTCCATTGGAACTGCGTGATGCTGGGGGATTGATTAGGATGTCTGTTTACTGGGTATGTAATTGTGCAAGGTAGCCATTGTAGCCAGACTTGATGACTTCATATATCAGAATTACTGCAGAGTATTTGAAGAGAGTCTTTGCTGTCAATTGGTTGCAGAATTTGAAGGCCAATGATGATAGTTGGAAGCCTGATTTTTACTTCAGGAATTTTATACAGGAAAAAGTGTGCCCTTTAAGATAGTGCTGTAAATATAACAAACACTTGTTGAGTTCCTGCAGCATGAGGTTATCCCATCATTCATTGAACAGAAGTGGCTGCTTTTTAGCAGTAGTAAACAGTATGGATTTTTTTTGGATGACATAAAAAAAAAAAAAAAAAGCTAACTTTTTAAAAGCCTGATTATAATTTCTTTTTTTTGTTGGTGATGGTGGTTTGTATTTCTTTTTTTCTTTTTTTTTATCAGGACTTCTGCTGATGAAATGCCTTCTAGTCGCCTTACAGATTTAAGGCCTGAGCGTAAACCAACTGCATTACACAAAGCTGTGACTGGAGGAGAGGAAGAAGGAAATGCTGGTCATACAGATGATTTAACAGGTGCAGTAGATTTGTCATTGAAATTTAATATTACATATTTGGGAGGTAGATACTTTTTAGTTATGGTTTTTGAAATATACGTTCTTAAACAGTTTCTGCCTGAAAAAAGCAAGCAACTAACTTAGAAAGTAATGTAATAGTTTGTGTTTTTAGAAATGAATCACAGGCATGAGAAAATAAAATGCGTTATATTAATTATATTTTGTAGTTGAGGAGGTGAGGAGATACTGGACATCTGTTTTTAGGGAGGAGGAACCCAAGAGTGGTACGGAAAGTGCGGAGTCATCTCTGAAAATTGAACTTCTTGATGATGTAAGTATGTGCTGAAGAACTTCGTAAGCCTTCACAGCCATCTTGTATGGTTTAAGTATTGACCTGTTGAAATCTTAAACTAGCAACGGCGTAGTAATTTATAATGAAAATATATGCACACATTGCATCTTCTGATCATCTTCATAAAAACATGGAAACTGCAGCTTTCACTTCACAGTAATTTTCTCCTGTGGTGTCTGTGGACCCTTAGTGTATAGGAATGACGCAGAAATGAAGTCTGCAGGCATTTTGTCACTTTGGTTTGTGGTACTTAGACTTATATTCTATTGCTGAATATGTATTTTTTTTTAATTAGTCTTACGACGTGGAGTTGGAAGAATCGTGTGACTTCTTGGTGTGTGAAGCTGAGGCTACAGGAATGAATAACCAGAGAAATATTGAACCGTTTGAAGAGTTTGGAAGGTGTGAGAAGAGATTATTTGTAAGAGGAAAGGAGTAATTTCTAATTTGATTCATGTTCACAAGTAACTGACAGAACTTATCCTTAATAATTAGAACTGATACCAATTGAAATGCGCGATTTTTCTGACATCCCAAAGTGTAGTTGGTAGGATGTGATCTGTTTTGGTGTATTTTACTCCTGTAATCTTTCCTCTATTTCCAAGTGCTTCAGCAACTGCAGATCAGCAAAACACAATGCCAGACCTTTTGCCAAAGGAGACTGCAGCCATGATGAAGTCATCTTGTCACTCAACTTTTGCGGCTGATGCTCAAAATCGTTTACCTTCTGATGGAAATCTTGTTTCCTCTAAAGAAATCTGGCAAGGTAGGTTTTCATAGCTTTCTTTTTTCTGTTATATACATAAGTTTTATATGCAGTTCTATCGTTCTCAGGATAGTCAGCTATTGATAATAGTAATTTTTTTAAAATTAACCATTTGTTGAGCTATGTATGTGCCATGAGCACAACTTGTGTGGTAGTTATCTCGCTTCTGTGAGCTTTTATTTGAACAGTAGCTGCTCTAATGTGAGTTGTAGACTGGAAAGAAATCCATTGTTAAGCAGAATGTGATCTTACAAATCTGTTTCAGTGTACAGTATTAAACATGTGGCACGTGTCTTTTTATCCTTGCCCATTGCAAGAGGCTTGGAACTAAATGCTCTTTAAAGATCCCTCCCAATTCAAACCATTCTATGATTCTTTTCATTAGGAAAAAATGCTTTTATATTGATTAGCTGAAGAAAAGTATAAATTATAATATTTGCTGTGTGAAAGATGGTCTCTGGTGTAAGTGTTCCAGTGCCTGTTGCATTCAGCATAGTCATGATGAATTCTTACACACATCAGTGGTTCCAAGGATCTTATTCTGTGTCTTAAGCGTATACAGAGTAGGGCACTTGATTAATTTTAAGAAATGTGTTGGTCTGTAAGGATCCTTTTTTTCTTAACCTTGCAAGTACCAAAGGCTTGTTCCAGCATTCAGGATCTAAAGTGTGTTCTGTTTGTACTTAATACAAGGAACTGTTTATATGAGTCTTCAAATAGGGGGGAGGAGGATCGAGAGCTGACAAATGAGGTGCAGCTTATGCTTTTTTATAGTAAGTGCAGAAAACTTAATAGATTTCTTCATATCACCTTGTGTTAAATGCAGCAGATACAGTAAGTGTGCTTTAATACAAAATCAATAACAATTTTCCTTTTAATAATTCTTAATTTCAGGAGATGGGAGATGGGTTACTGACGTGAGCTTAAGCAAGCATGCTGATGAGTCTGTAGTTCAGGCTGTCTTAGAAAGTCAAATGGGCAGATCTTCAAGTGGTCTCAAGACTCATAGAATTTCTCCTCTGGTAACATGCAGACCATGCTCAGGTAAGAATAATAATCTTGAGATCCTGCTTTAATAGGTTATTTTGCCTAGTATTTATTTTTGAGCACATTTGTAACCTTGTTTCTTTAAAGCAGAGAATGTGTTTTATGGATCTATTTGTTGTAGGCGCCCTGTCTGTGTTGAAAGATGTTGAACTGGGAAATGATTTTGGTTTTTTGTTCCAAATACAGAGTAAAAGAAGAAGAAACAACCACCAAAACATCAATATTACAAAAGTTTTGGAGTTTTGACAGGTATTTAAATGACAGGGATGGTTTCAGCTGCTTATAGGAGGACAATCAATACCTGACACTTACACAGCTTTCTTTTACAAATGTTCCTGACATCCTTGGATTGCTTTAGATGAGTGGAACATATGCAGTCTTTGAGTCAATTTGACTTGTTCCAGCTAGGAAGCACAGAGTTTGAGATTTGTCTGTATGAGTAGTAACTGTTTAAATTAATGATTTATTATAATCCATTTAGATCAACTCGTAACTTAAACTACAGGTTACGTCATTCATTATTTTTATCTTTATGAAATCTTGAGTTTGCTACAAGTTGTGGTCTTGTGTGATTTCAGGGAATGATTCTATCAGACCTCGATCATCAGATGTGCTGCAACATAAACTGACCAGAGATTGTGCAAAATGCACTCATCCAAGACCAGAGAGTTCAAGTTCACCTCTGCGTGCATTTAGAGCTAATACTGAGATATCAAAGCACAAGGATGTTGATGTAATTAAACAAGATGAACATTGTTGGGAATATGCTGCTGACCAAGAAGCCTTACTCTGTCTGGAAAAAGAATTACAAACTTATAGGGGTAAGTGATAATATTGCTTTTTCCCCTTAGAGGTAAGGTAATGAAAGCATGTAGCTATTTCCTTATTTTTTGCCCTAGTATCAGTTAGATCTAATAATATGAAACCAATTAACTATGCAGGACTAGTTGAACTGTGATTTATTTCTATTTGATCATGCTTTAATCTACCCCTAATTTAGTAGAAGCAGCTGTTTCATGCAACTGTCTTAATTATTTTGTTTATACTCTGCGATTTCACTGCAGGGATCTGCACAATATGTATATGGTATCAGGTAAAGTTTTGCTTTCAAATAAGTATCCTTTCCTTCAATATGTATCCTTACCTTCAAAATGGGCACCTTAACTGTTGTTAGAAGCTAGATTTGTGATACAAGGCTAGCAGGAAAGGGAAAAGATGGGCAGGAAATTCTATGAACCTATCCTGATGAGAACTGCCAGTAATGAGGCACTATGGATCTGATATTGTCTCACTTTGGGTTTGACTAGAGCAACTTTGCTTTGTCTTTTTAAGACTGTCCCAGTCTTTATTTCCCCCTTTCATTCCACTTCCTTGGAATATTTTTCACGTGTGGAAGCCTGTAGCAAAAATGTGTGACTAGCTGGAAAAATAATCTTGCATCTGTGTTATCTAACAACTCTAGGCTGTGGCACTGGCTGATTACCCCTTTGGATTAGTACTTGTTGTATATTCATTACTGTTTTAAGTGCATTCTGCCATTATCAGTCTGCCTTTTCTGCTGTACACCGAGGTCTCCTACAGGACCTTACCTACACTGTTTCTTATTGTGTTGGTGTAAGCAGCTCAGAACTGAACTCTCCATTATTTCTAATGATATAGGAGCCATATAATAAAAAGTCATAATTCACTTGAGGGCTTGTAATGACATCCTTTACCAGCTACAATTAGTTAAGCACTTAATGCTTTCGTTGATACTGTGAAACTCTTTAAAATTGATAGTGTAAATAATGTGGGTTTTATTTTCTTGGTTATATTAGTCACTGAAATGACTGCAGATATTTCAGATCCTCAAGAAAAACTTTACAGCCTAACTTCTGAAGATGTAACCTCCTCCAGCAGACGTTCAAGGAAGATATATGGAAGTGTTACAGATTTCCATAAAACCCTGGATCTAAAAGACTACAGCACAGCTGATATGCTTGGGTAAGCTAAATTCCTCAAGTATGTTTTTATGGTACTGTAAAAATTTTAATATGCCAAACATCTTCCCAGAACTGTAAAACAGTCTTAACTTTCTGATTTTACTTTGTATACTTATTACTAATGTCAGCATGACCTATTTTGTATCTTGTTTGTTTGTTTTTGAAGTTGGTAATTGCATCTCAGATTAAGAGTAAAGCAATGTATTTTTGAGATCTCCAATTAGGAACGTTGAGATTTAAAAAATAAAAATAAAAATGCTTTGTTAATATGCAGCACTGATATTTAAAATGAATGTTACAAGTCATCTGAGCTCTCTGCTTGAAAGATTGCTTTAAAAGGAGTTGTGAGCAAGTGAGACAATTACGTTTGACTGACTGATTTGTGATGTATCATTCACGTTGCTTTGGAGACTGAGGAGGAAATTAGAAAAGAGGACATTCCCCAAAGTTCTGTTCTGCCATTGTTTTCTTATTATGATCTTGTAGCAAATAATGGTGAGGCACTATATATTGTGTGAAGGTAGCTGACTTAGACTTGTGTGTTGATACTACTGAAATTACAGTGCACTAGAAATCTAAACTATATTTGCAGTTGGTACAGTTGGTGCTAACAAGGCTCACTTTTCTAGCTCTACCATTCTGGATTGTGGGATTTCTTCACTAAGGCATACCAGTGATAAGGTTGTTTACCTCTTCTTTATTCATTTCCATCTCCTAAATAAAATGTGATAAAAGCTGAGGGGTTGAAACTGAATAGAGTAGGTTTTGGTGTATGCAAAACATACAGCAAAAGCTATTTAGTGCCTTTATTACTGTGCATGAACGCATGTCCCTGAGGCTTTACACAGTTGCTAGAGGAACTTGAGCTGCTGAAAACCTCTGTGCTGTGTTTGTTTTAAGGGGCTGTGATGAAGACCAAATAGATGATGAGGAAGAAATTCTGGAGGATAAACGGCAGGTTCTTGCATTACAGTAAGCATGTGAGGAATGTAATGATTCTGTATCTTTGCACTTTGTATGAAAACAAAGAAGCAGATGAAGAGTAATTATTGAGTGCTGTTGATGTTATTTATTAAAGATTACTTTGTAAATTTGTAAATAAAAATGTTTAAAAATCACTCCACTTGGATTATTTTTCTTGCTGTGGAAAAACTAACAGGATAAAAGAAAACTGAAAAGACTTGTTGGGAGATGCCCTGCATTCTCAGGCACAGCAGCTCCCTTCAGCTTTCTTCACAGCGTGGTGGTGGTTTTTTCATTTGTTTTTGATGTATGTCTGAAATGTAGTGAAAGCTTTTTTGTTTGGTGCAATGCTTTTCTCCACTGTGGTTTTTATGATATTTTGAAGGTATCTTAATCTTTTCTCTGGTTTTGGTCACCAAAGAAGTGAAACTACCTAATTGCACTTATTAAAAGTTAGGACTTGGTGTCAAAAATGCAAGATTTCTCTCTGCTTGTGTTGGGAGACTTTGCAAGTGGGACTAACTGTAAGCTTTTGAATGATAATTGCTGTTATCACCTGACACAACTAAAATTAATGGAAATTTTTCACTGAAGCTTTTGTATAGAAACTTTATAACTTGGTTTATGTTTTTCCATCTGTTCCACTGTTGTAATGGTTTAAGTGGGGAGTTTGTATAAAATGTGGCTCTATGAATCTACTGAATGTGTATTTGATTATTATTAACATTTCTGTTTTTAATGAAGGGATTGTGTCCATTTCAGTCATTATTCATGACAGCAACAATGATGATTAACTGATCAGTAAATAATGAAACCTGATATTAGATGTCTTGTAATGAGGATCGTGATTTTCATCACTACATTAACATACACAGGTAGTTTTACTAAGTTTGTTTTGCTCGTGACATCAAATGTTTAAGGTGAGTCTTTGAGTGCTCATGCTGGAAACCTTGTGGATGTTTAGAGTGGCAATTGACCTGCTTTAATGTAACAGAAGAAACATTCTGATGCATGAGGTGGTTTCTGGCAATTAACACACACTTATTGGTGTCTTCCTTGCTGCTATTTAACTCTAAAGTGGTGTGCAGTTATTTTCTATCTGCCCCTCAGTTATGCACTGAACACTACATCAGTTTCTTTTACAGGAAGGAGTACTTGAGTGAGCCTAGCTCGTAAAGACTAGAGTGATTGGGCTGAGCAGACCATTGGTTTGACTTCCTGCTATGTTTCTTGTCTTTAAGATGAGGGTGTATTTTTTCACTTTAGTTTCCTTTACAAAGTTTACCGTATATCTATGTTTCATTACAGGAGCTCTTTGCCAGGAACTCTAATAATAAAATCAGAAAGCATATTTTGTGCAGATTAAGTCCTATGCTGCTCTTTCATGAGTGCAACCTTTTATTTCTCTTTGAGTTACCTTTCTGCTTGTTCCTGTTATGCTCATTTCCCTTGAACAGAGAGAGGCTGACTTCTTCCATGCTGTTCCCAACTCTTTTAACTAGGAAACCAGTGAAGCATATGCTACTGTATTTGTGTGCCTCAATAGTCAGATTTTAATCCTTTGTGACTGTAAGAAATTAATAAGAAGACAGTGTGTTTAACATCTGGGTTTACCAGCTGTGCCTTCCCATTCCTTTTATTTGAAAGAAATGGTTATGATAATACAGCTAACGAACTTTGGACTAAAACTTACTTCAAAGTGATAGTAGTGTCTCTAATCAGTTATGCTGTAAGCATATTTCAGTTTTGTAATTTGAACTTTAGAGTATTTCAAGATGTCTTTGTATGTTTTTCTTCAAGACATATTGGTCATCCAGTTAGTCTATCAATCTTACCAAAAAGAATGCCTGAACTGTAGACAGTGACTTCAGTTAAATGTGTGGTTTTACACTACACAAATCTTATGAATTACTGTGGCAATTAATTTAGATTTTGCAGTCTACTTCGAAGTGCTCAGTGCTTAAGTATAAAATTGTTTTCATACTCGTGAGCACGTAGGTGAATCGCCATTGACAGAAGTTCTGTTTACAAGTATCTGCAAGCTATCCCTAGAGCACTTTAGGTCTCTTTGCAGAGCACTGTGAATTGTATGCTTGCTGTTCATTTGCTCACTGCTGTGCTCAGATGGGGAATGCTCCATGCCTGTGTGCAGGGGCTCAACAAGTGCATGAAGAGAAGCAGGAAGGGAACTGCTCCTATCCTGATGTGTGCTATTGCTATCTTAATTTAAAGAAAAAGTTACAAACAGCAAAACATCTCCTCTTGATTACCTATCTCCATGCTGATGCTTTAATTCAGATTCTGTTGTCCTATAATGTGAAAATCTGTGCTTTTGTAAATCACTCAGAATTTACAAGTCAAACACTTTTGCGTGAATGACAACCAAGGATTTGTGCCTGTGAGTATCACTGCGTGACGTGGGCTATTTAAAGCAAAATCTATTTGCTTTAGATAAAAGAGAAATAATCTGAATTTGAATGATGTGTCAGAATGTCAACTGAGTTGTCAGCCGAATGTGGCAGCTGTTCCATTCTTAGGCTCAATTTATATAGAAGATAATGGAGGAATGTTGTAGCATGCTTTGTTTTGTGTGAAAGTATTTTTATATTACAAATGACTTTTTCAGTAATTATCGGTAAACAGCTCAACTTTTATCAAAGTTTCTGTAAGAAAAAAAAAAAATGCTGGTTCCAAAATGTGAATGTCTATCCTTTGTACACTGCTGAAGGTCTAGCCCTATTTCATCCTACATTCTTTAGTGCTTTCTTTTGATGTTCTTCAGCTGCTCCTGTTTCCTTTCATTCCAGGGGTGTTAATCAAGATGCAACATGCTGCAAAGTGAAGCAAGTAAACATCTGTGTGGAAACATTCTCAATTCCTTCTCAGTTTTCTGTATCTTATATTATAGAGGGCATCTAGTACTTGTTCCTCAAACTCTGCATCTTGTCCTTATTCTTGTTTTTGTTTTTTTCCCACTCTCCATTATAGCTGGTAATAAATACATGGAGGCAGGAGAGAGAAGAGACAAGGAAAAGATGTTTGCTAGCACTGTGGAGTTGGCCTTTAATAGAAAGTTTGATATTTTGCCTGTGTGGTATAGGAAGAGAATGTTTAAGAAATACCTGCTTTCAGGGCTCCGCAACCGAAGTCTCCAGGTCTTTCCATTCATACTGAACCCAAGGAAAGGCTCTGGTTTTTGTTCTTCTCTGTAGACAGTCAGTGTCTTGGCCTCTGATCCTCAGTAGGTTTTCTGGCTCCAGCCTTTGTTTTCTTCATCAGTGTTGCTCTTTGCTGGCAGCTCTTCGTGGGGATGTTGCTAGTGCCATCTAAATGCTTCAGGTAGGAATTTAGACTTAAAAATAATTGATTGCTACTCTTTTCTGTATATGATAATTGAGAACTAAAAGCTCCCGCAAGATGTGTGCAGTGTGGCTCTTTCGGTACAAATTTGAACTTCAGAAGATGTGTAGATTTTCCTCAAATGAGGAAGTTGTATTTACCTTGATTTATGAGCAATATAGCATCAAATAAAACCCAATTAAAATCAGCATGGGTTCAAATATTTTTCTCTTAGAAGATGAAGAGAGTAGGCAAAAGAAGATGAGAGAGTAAAATGGCATGAAAGTGTACAGTATGCTTACGTGGCTATGGAGATAAGGCATTATTTCATGTTTTGATATGGGGGAACTAGTACTAATATAAAAAGCTTTCCAATAAGAACAGCAGCAACGTGTTTATGTGTGCTAAGTACGTGCATAGAAGCAGTCTGAATGATCTAATAGAGGCAGAGAATTCCACAGAGTTTATGGAATATATAGCAGCTTTACTGTTCTGATTTTGGTCATATTCTGTTATACTTACCTCATTTAATCCATCTGGAATCGTGGCTTAAAAGCTGTATTTGTAGTAAAATGGATACCCCCACGTCTGTACTGAAGTGTTTCTGGGTACGTTATGTTGCAAGTCATGAGCCTTCTGTAAGGTTTGCTGTGCTCAACTGACCTTTCTGGCACAGCTCTGTTCTCTTTAGCAATCCTTATGTTTTGAAACAAGTCAATAAATTGAGCAGTAACAAATCACCAGGACCATATGGGCTTCACCCAATACTTCTAAGGGAACTAAAATGTGAAAATCTCAGATTATGCAAGAAGTGTGGTATGGAGAAGAAGGCAAATAAGCAAGAAATAAGGCAAATAAGTACTGTCTGTGGGTGGGAAAGGACCTTAGTCAGAGGCATGGGTGGGGTTTTCATTTGCTGGTGGGAAATGTTGTAGTTCCTTGAGAATGTTAGCTGAATGGCAGTCAGGCTACTGTGTCTGTAACTCATGAAGATGTTTTATATGATAGTATTCAGCATAATTGGCACTGCAGATGTAATGATAGCTGTGTTTGAAATTCAAGGTATGCTGGGCATGCTGACTCGGTGTATCCACAGCCCAAAGCCTGCAAAATGAAGAGCAAAAGGAAGGAAATCAAAATCGGTGCAAACCTCATCTTAGAACAACAGAGTCCTGAGAATGGTGTTATGTAAGTTATGTTGCATAACGTGCTGAATTGTGTTAAATAGATCTAGATGTAGCATCTTTTGAATTGATCATGAAAGAGGTAGGTGAGATATTTAGGTAAAGATTGTACCCCTTTTGTTTGATTGCTGTTGCTCGATACTGCTTTAAAATACTGTACAATCATACAAACTGTTTCTTCTGACTATGGAGAAGGATTAGGAAAGGATAATAGCTAATAACCACCCCTTTACCAGTATGAGATGCATGGAGGAAAATTAAGGCAGTCAGTGAAGAAAACAGAGACTAAAGTAGCAATGTTTCTATGTAAGTTGAGCCCAAAGTTGGGCCTTCAAGTTCCGCTATTTGATCCAAAGTCAGTCACAGCACTTCAGGTACTAGAATAAGTGAAACATCCACTGGCTGAGGCAATATTGCCTGATGTATGATGGACACTAGTGACATCAGTACCTTAAAATCCTTGACTACATCCTTGACTTTATTTCATGGC